AAAGACATGTGGGCTTTGCATAATGTGTAATGAAAGTATGACACCAGAAGTAGGATACTCTTCATTATGCAAAGTGGTAAAGACTTCACTGACAAATAAATGGTCCATGAGGGAAATGTTCATACTATTTTCCTTCCATGATTTTTCCCTCTTAAAATAACTATTCATTGTAGGAAAAAAAAAAAAGACAAAATGCACACAAATTAAAAAAAAATCTAAGATCTCCCCACCCAAAGACAATCATCATTAATAATTTGGCATCTACCTATTTAAGCTTTATCTATGCAAATCTATCTAGTTTTTTCGAACATGGGGCTACGCCCTGCACACTGCCTTCAGCACATCCAGAAGCCTGGCCCTGTCTCGCCCGAGCGCGGCGTTGCCCAGAGCTCATGCTGCGGGGGTCAGCCTGCCTCTCCGTTCCAGGCCTACCTCGACAAGTATTACACGAAGAAAGGAGGACACCCGCTTGGCGAGATGGCTGCGAGAGGCAGCAACTCCATGGTGAAGAAGATTAAGGAGCTACAGCAGTTCTTTGGCCTCCGAGTCACGGGCAAGTTGGACCGGGCCACGATGGATGTGATTAAGAGGCCTCGCTGCGGAGTTCCCGACGTGGCTAACTACCGCCTCTTCCCAGGTGAACCCAAATGGAAAAAAAATACTTTAACCTACAGGTAATGCGATCGAGTCTTTCCAAATTCGGAGAGAAACAGCCTCTCTCTCGCTCCCTCTCTTTTCTTCTCTTCTATCTTCCTTGTGATCTGTGTAAAAATCACGATTCAGCCCCACTTCCTCTTTTCCTCTAACAACGTGTTTTTCCGCCCTTGCTGGGTGGGGCCTTGCACGGGGCTCACCCAGGTTGCAGACCCCGAGTTGCAATTCTCTGCTGGTCCTGAATAACCCTCATTTTTGCTGGAGGAAAAAAAAATCATGATTCATCACAATCATGAGAAAGAATAAGAACTATTCAGGTCAAATCTCTGGCCAACAACAATGGAGAATTCGCTAGAAAATGTGACCTCATAATCGCTGGCCATTTTAGGCATTACAAACAATTATAGCAACTAGCGACAACACATTTATCTTTAAAGAAAAACTATCTAGTCTAGAATTAATAAACTGACAGTACCAACCCGTTCTCTTAAAACAATATTCCAAATCAAGTCATCAAACTCAGCTAATAAATTAAAATTTTTTATTAATTCCAAAAATAATTTATTGGCCATTTATTAAATGTCTACCATAGGCATTCAGTCTTGGAGATAGAAAGGTGAGTAGCTCACTTTCCCTGACCTCAGGGAACTCACCGTCCTTTGGGGGAGGAGACACACGAAACAGTCACAGTAAATGTGAAACTGCAGGTCTAAGCAGAGAACGGTGGCAGCACATAGAGGGAGCTACCAAGTCGCCCAGGCACCAGCCAGTGACGAGCCTGACTTGAAGGTCAAGAAGGAGCTAGTCTTCTCCCAGCCCCAGGCTACCCCATCTCTCACCTTAACTTCCCGCCGCCTCCACACCTGAGCGTGGCCCCCGCCTGGCCATCCTCTGGCCTCCTCCTGCCCCCGGCAATGAAGGATTCTCCGTGGTCCAAGGGGACACAGCCAACCAGAATCTACACCCTCTCTGTGCTCTGGGTACTCAGGCCAGAATTCTGGCCCAGAGGCCCGCATCCGTTTGCGGAACCAGCACTGGCCTCCTCCCCAGACCTCCTTCCCCGGTGCCCGCCTGCCCGTCCGCCTGCAGGTGGGGCTGGAGGCAGGCGGATGCTGCCGCACCTGTGGGCCTTGCGCCTGCCTGGGAGAGGATGCTTAGAGAAAGGGGCGGGCGGAGGGGGTGGGGGCTCCGTTTGTATTTTTCCGCTCCCTAACGTTAGAGGTTTTCCCAGTAGAAAAGGAGCCCAGGCAAACGGGGCTTGGTGTGCAGGGCAAGGCGCAGTGCCGCGGCCAGAGCACAGGGTGCGGGAGCAGGGTGTGCGGAGTGAGGCGGGAGCAGGGTGTGCGGAGTGAGACCCGAGCAGCAGCCCGAGGGGCCTCTAGAAGGAGGCTCCGCGGTTTGGACTTTATTCTGAGGCAGTGGAGAGCCAGGCCGGGTCAGGATCGCATTGCGTTTGCAGGCTGAGCACATCTGGTTGGCATCTGGAGAGACGGAAAGACTAAACTGTTAAAAGAATCCCCGCGGTGGGGTGTTGGAGCTGGCCCCTCACAGATGAGAGGAGCCAATCCTTACATTTTCGGGCATTTTGCAGCCGGTTGTTAAGTTTCCCAGAATTTTGGGAGCCGGTGGCTAAGCACAGCCAGTATTAAAAGCTAAATTATATAAACTTACCATTAAGTATATAGATATCATATTGTATATTAAAATCTATATATATAAGTTATATACAACGAAAAAGCAAAGGTAAAGAAAACGTTGATTTTTAATTATCACGCTACATCTTGCTACAATCTATGTTCATGACATCTCTTATCTATACGATGGAAATCATGGGTTCATCTCCCAACTTTACGTTCACTGATGGCAAGTTAGTAGCTTGAAATTATCCCTAGATGAGTGTATTTACAATACAGAAATCAGCAGACCCCACAAATGAGGAGTTTTGGTCATAGAACCGCTTGTTAAACTGAACCAGGACACCAGTGAGTCCCTGTGATCCAAGAAGACTGGCAAGAGGAGTCCCATAGCCCACTTGTTAGTTGCTATGAGCCATTAAGTCCATAAGGTGGCGCTCTGAACACAATTATCAGTCGGCTTAAGCGCAAGCTTTCCACAAAAATTAAAGCATTGGGGAAAGAAACATCCATTAAGGAATGGAACACACAAGACATTCTGAGATGATTAAGGGTAAGACAGGAAAATTTTATATAAACTCGGGAAGTCTTTCTCATCATTTCTTAAAATAAACTGTGTCATAGAATTTTAGTCTGATTATGTAAAGGGGATAGAGCAAGCTAATTTGGGACTTAGAGAAGTACAGTATGCTTGTGATCGTACCTTTGGGAGGGCAGCCCTCACACCACCTCAGCACACTCACCCTGCCATCCACTTGCTCCTGAACAACCCTCCTTCCCCCTGAATGAACAAAAACAAAAGCAAAAACCCACTAGAGACTATCTTAATACCCTGTATAGCTGTTTGATCTCAGGGTAACTCCTTCTAACACAGCCCAGGAGATTAAAAAAAAAGACAAAATATAACACAGTGCTTACGTGCAGAAGCTTTGGGGCAGTAAGGAACGGGGCTTGAGTCCCAGCTAGCTGTGACACACAGATCATTACTATTACCTCTGAAGGTTGTTGCGATGGATGGACCTGGAGAATGTCATTCTAAGTGAAGTCAGCCAGAAAGAGAAAGAAAAATACCACATGATATCACTTATACGTGGACTCTTAAAAAAAGAAAAAGATAAATGAACTTATTTAGAAAACAAAAACAGACTCAGACATAGAAAACAAACTTACAGTTACCAGGGGTGGAAGGGGGTGCGAAGGATAAATTGGAAGTTCGGGATTTGCAGATACTACTACTATATATAAAACAGATAAACAACAAGTTCATACTGCAGAGCACAGGGAACCATATTCAATATCTTGTAGTAACTTATGGTGAAAAAGAATATGAGAACGAATATATGTATGTTCCTATATGACTGAAGCATTGTGCTGCACACCAGAAATTGACACAACATTGTAAACTGACTATATTTTAATAAAATGTATTTTTTAAAAAGGAAAAAAGTAGCTGAGAACAGTGTCTAGCACTTAGTGTGTGCTCACAGGACATCAGCGGTTACCACCACTGCTTTATGAGCCTCCGGTCCCTGGGTCAGGGCTTCTCTCCACGTGCCCTTCCTTTCTGCTTCGCTCCTTCTCCGTCTCTGTCTTCTTCAGCCCAACACACACAGTCAGCTCTGTGCGTGTGGATAACTCAGCTAACACGTGAGAGATGTTCGAGATACTAACTCCATAGAGTCATGAAAAATCACAGATTCATTCTATGCAGTAGGCTTGGCATGTTGTGAAAGCATGAGACAGTTCCTTTAAGGATTCTTGCTGGTTCCCCCTTGGACACTGTAACTCCCTTCTCTTGGCCCTGATCCGTGGAGTTAAATATCTCCTTATTCCTTCCTGCTCCGTTGCTGGGGTTTAGCTACTTACCACCCTCTCCTGGGAGCTGGCCCCTTCCTCTGGGGCCCCCAGGGTTACCACTGTTGGTTTCTAGCTGAGATGGCACCACCTGCATCAGAATAATCTCTGACGCTTGTTAAAAATGCAGATTCCCGATCACGCCTGTGTGTTTAACAGGCTTCCTAAAAGTTTCACAGGTCCTGAGTTCTGAGAACCACTGAGGAGGCCCAGAAAAACACTAGTTTTTATTCATTCGTTCTTCCATTTAGCAAGTGTTTGCTAAGCTCCTACTACCTGCAAGGGCCTGGACTGAGAGCTGGAGAGAGAGAAAGTGGGTGAGGTATCTGCTGTCAAGGTGGGCTCTCACAGAACGGACTTCTAACTCTGCATCCGTTGCTCCCTGCCCCCGAGCCCAGGTCCCAGGTAGAAGCTCCCTTCTCGCGCCCTTCCTTTACCTGCTGCCGAGAACCCCCAGCCCCCGGGCCCCAGAGCAGCACGTCCTAGAGAAACCCCAGCTGTCTCCACCCGCTATTGGCCTGAAAAGCTCTGTACTTTTCCGCCTTCAGGTGTCATTATTACGCCAGGACTTGATGAGAAAGACTCAAGCCTTTTTCAGTCCAAGTGAGCATCCTGGTGACGAGTGAACACTTCCTCTTTAAGAACTACATTATTTTAAGAAAAAACCATCCCCTACGGCCCTGGGGAAACCCTGACAGGCTTTGAATAAGAATTTGCAATACCTCAAAATTCTTACTTTTTTATTTTTCACAATTGAAAGTTTTCAGTCCCTTTGGGGGAAAAAGAGATCCCTTCTCAATTAAAACCACTTTAGGGAAAACGGACTTTTTAGCTACTCATAAATTTACCCGCGGTGTTATTCTTTAAAATGAGTGATATATATATATATATATATATATATATATATATATATATATATATATATATATATGTAAAACAAGGAAAGCCAAATTCTTTCAGCACCAGATTATCTCAGCTCTTTCATTTCTCCCCTTCATTTTGCTAATTGTTCACCGTGCTTCAGTAATGTAACAAATATGAAAGCAAAATAAGAATGATTATTTTGGGGAAAAAGAAACCTGACTTGTAGATTTATGTTCAATATTTTTATTTTTATTACAGCCTTGACGTAATTCTCTCTTTCTTCACGTAGGCGTTCTTACTGAAGGGAGAGCATGTTCCTTCTGTTTTCGCAGGATATCCAAGTACACGCCGTCCATGACGCCTGCAGAAGTGGACAGAGCCGTGCAGATGGCCCTGCAGGCCTGGAGCAGTGCCGTCCCCCTGAGCTTTGTTAGAGTAAACGCAGGAGAAGCGGATATTATGATCTCTTTTGAAACTGGAGGTACTGTGGTGCTTCTGGGATTTTTGTTTACTAATGCAGAGAAGAAATGTTTCAATGCTTTTCCTTCTACAATATTCAACCCATGAGATCAGCCCAACCCTCCCCAATACAGTGGTGTGATGGGCAGAGGCCAAGACCGTGGCAGGGTCACCGGTCTTCGTGTGGCCAGAAAGCAGAACCAGAGGGGTTGTCAACCTCCCTTGTCATCATGAGCCTGAGCTGTGGAAGGGACTCGGCATAACCCGCTTTCATCGTGGCATTGCCCCATTAGGGACAAAGTCTGTCAGATCTGGCTTTCCCCTTGGCTAGGAGGCCACCTGACCTCAGCCCGTCCCCACAATGACGTCCATCGCCAGATACCTCCTTCCATATGAGCCAGGCATCTCCCACCTTGAATCTTCACTGAAGGGGATTAATTCCGTGGCGGCCTTGACAGCTTCCCCGTGCAGCACTGGTTAGGAGAGTGGCATTGCCGTCCTACCCACCCTTGCAGACCACCTTTTGTAGTTGCCAGACCTGCCTCCGACCTGCCTCCTTCTTCTCTGTCCCCCACACCCCTTGGTGAGGAGTGGAGCCCTTGTCATTCCCTTCCCTTCTCAGCGTCCTCAGAGCTGGCGTCAGTGAGAATCACTGCCACTTGCCCTTCGCAGAGAAGATTTCTAAGTGTCCCTGTTATTTCAAGTCTTGATCTTAGTTTTAATCTGATGTCAGTGGGGAAACATGCTTAGAAGCTGGGAGAGAGCAGATCAAGCAAGTCCTGAGCATGGCCCCTTTAGAGGTGGCCCTGGGGGTGTGACCTGGCCCATGGTGGGTCTTGTTCCTCCGGGAGGGCCAAGGCCACCCCCAGTGACGTGGCAGGGCAGCGTGGCTCGCCCTCTGTTTTTTAATTGAACTATAGTCAGTTACAGTGTCAGTTTCCGGTGCACAACGTAATGTCCCAGTCATGCATATATACATACATATATCCATTTTCATATTCTTTTTCATTAAGGGTTATTACAATATATTGAATATAGTTCCATGTGCTATTCAGAAGAAATTTGGGTTCTTTTCATCTATTTTTATATCTAGTAGTTAACAGTTACAAATCTCAGAGTCCCAAATTTATCCCTTCCCACTCCCTTCCCCCTGGTAAGCATAAGATTGTTTACTGTGTCTGTGAGTCTGTTTCTGTTTTGTAGATGAGTTCAATCGTGTCCTCCTTTTCCTTTTTCTTTCTTTTTTTTTTTAGATTCCACATATTAATGATATTGATCTTTCAAACATGTGTTCTGTCCCCTAACACACACGTTGACCAGGACTAAACAGCCCTGCACCAAAACCTGGGCAGTGGCACCAGAACTTCATTTTGGTGTTTTTTTTTTAATAAAACAAGGTATCCTCACCAAAATCCTGGAGAACTGTGAAAAGTAGCTTCTACAACATCCCTCATTTTGTTCTTCTTCCTTTTCTATTACATTTGTAACGAGCTTTTTATTAAATATGGGTAATAAAACAAAAACACATTAAGCTTTAAAAGTTGTAATTTTATAAACACCTTGATTGCTTTCTTGAGTTTTACACATGAAAACATATCAAAATTACACAGAAATTTTCTCCTTTTTTTTGGCACTTCCTTAAATTGTACTGTATTGTGCCGTAGAAACAGAAAGCACACACTTGTTCGATTTACTGCAATTGTCTTAGTCAAATCATATGTTAAAGGCACTGTGCCAGAACGTTCCCATTCCAGTCAGTGGACGAGGTTGCTACAAAATGTCCATCTGTTCTTTCTCCTTTTGTAATCTGCAGCATGGTCACAGTCTACGGTACGCCTTGTGCCAATTAACAGACATTGCAATAAAAACAACCACAAAAGAACTTTTTAAATTTTTACTGCTTACCATCTTTAAAATGCAAAATATCCCTTTTAATTTTTTAATGGACAGATTACTCATTGGCATGTGAGCTGCTTCTTATAAAAAATAAACATTAGAGAGTCAATCTCTTTGCACGAGAATGGTCAACACTATTCAAAAAGCTGTTCATTTCCTGCGATGTTATGAACCCCTGAAAAATTGCCAGAAGGACTAAGACCTGTTGGTGTTTCTCCCCGCTTGTTTAGATCACGGGGATTCCTACCCATTCGATGGGCCTCGAGGGACTCTCGCCCATGCATTTGCACCTGGAGAAGGCCTGGGAGGAGATACACATTTCGACAATGCTGAGAAGTGGACTATGGGAACGAATGGTATATATATGCACATTCATCATAACCTGGAAAGTATTGTACCTTCTTCTGGGCCTCCATCATGAAACCCTGAGGTTCAACGTCCCAAGCCACCCTTTAACTAGGGGGGCTGGCTAGGAAAAACAAGTAAGCCAAAAATCCAAAAGGGCACACATAAGGGAAAAGACCCACCCTCAGTCGTGCTGTACGCTTGTCTGGTCTCTGGCTCTTAGCGCGTAATCTCAAGAAGCAGCTACCCCGTCCTCAACGCACAGCTCTCTTTTCCTTCAACTATTTAGATTTTTTGTTTCTTACTTGTACTTGGAAACAGGCTTGAAATGGCCTGAGGGAATCGGTGGTTTCCTGAGACGTGCAATGGGGATGGGTATAAAAGTTCCATGCTATTCTGCATGTCATCCGGAAACCTTCAGTGTGGACCGTGTGTGGATAAAAGGGAGTAGGCTACAACAGCAGGGCGCCAGTAAAGTACCCGTGGCCTACGTCTAGGTGTCACTGCCCCCGTCAGCTCTAAGGCCCTTCTTTACCAACCTAGTGAGCACCATGGACAGTGAGCGAAGCGGACGGATTTGCTTCCCCCCTCCTCCGCCCCAAACCCCTCCTAGCCAAGGGGGGAAGAACCAGACTAAAGCCAGCAAAGCTAGCTGCCAGAACAACCCACCAACCTAGAGCAGCCCAGTTCCGAACAGAAAAGGAATAAACTGTGATTTGAGCATAAACTCTCCTGTGAAGGCAGGAGATAGTGGAAGTAAAACCCTGGGTTGATGCTGGCTTTCTCTCTCTCACGTTGTCTAGGTTTCAATTTATTCACCGTGGCTGCTCATGAGTTTGGCCACGCCCTGGGCCTGGCCCATTCCACAGACCCATCAGCACTGATGTACCCAACTTACAAGTACCAGCGGCCCTACGGGTTCCACCTCCCCAAGGACGACGTGAAAGGCATCCAGGCGCTGTACGGTACAGTCGCGACACTCCCTTGACCCCAAACTCTGCAAGTGACAGGCATTAGGTCTCCAACCTTTTAAAGAAAGTGTACTTTTCCAGGAGTGACCCGCGTACGTAAAGATTAGGCTGGAGACTACCGCTCCAGCTGTGCCCTCTTACAAAGAGCTTTTTTACCAGATATGAGTAGATCTTTTCTAAGATGTACAATTAAACTTTATAGCTTTCCTCCAGAGCACATTGGTCCCTTGACGGCCACAGAAAATACACTCATTTGTGTGTCTTCTGAGTGGAGGTCAGGAGTTAGACACGGGGAGAGGATGGATGCTTTTATGGTTCACATATATGGTGCTTATCCATTTGTAGATAAATGACCTTATCTTCCTAAAAACAGGAATCATGATGGTTTCAAAGGTAATAAAGGATTACTAGGAAATCTACATCCAATTTTCTTTAATGGAAAGGCAAATCCATTAATCCATGGGAAGGAGTCCTGAAGCATCATTAGATCTCGAGATTTTTTGTTTAATGGATAAAAAGCTGAAGAGTCTAGGAAACTGACTTTCCCTTAAGCCTCAGAGCCTAATTATTCACCCTTTACCTGTCGGAGCCTCTCCCCGTCTTCTCAGCCTAGAAAAGGGCGTAGACCCAGCTGCCCCCTCCCATGCCTTCCTGTGTGCTGGCCGGCTCTCTGCTGCCTAGCAATGGGCACACACATCTGCAGTCAGAGTCTGCAGGGAACTGGGGCAGAAGAGATCAGTTCCATCCCAGGAAGTGTCCAGCCAGCTCTGTCCCTTCAGAGAGAGGGTGTATGTCGGTCCCACTCCGCCCTTGGGTGTGAATGTCTCCATTTTACAAACTTGGCCCCAGGACTCCAAGGTAAAGCAGTTCCCCTGGCCACCGAGAAGGACCCAGTCCGAATCCTTGCCTGCCCTTTATGGGTCCTTGTGAACTGGAGACACCACCGTGCTGATGGCCACTGCTACTCAGCCAGGAGCTGATGCTTCTATTTTGACAAGGTCACTTTGACACAGGTGAACAAAACACGGAAACCTGGTTTTCCATCGCCAGGAAGCACACACATCAACCACCCCAGCCTTTGGTAAAGTATGGCACGTAGTCAATGTTTAAGAAATGGCAGCCCATTTCTATCTGACCAATTTCCAGGTTCTGCTCTTTCCCCAGAGGCTCAGCCCCGCTCTGATCTTCACCCCATTGCTGATCCTTCTCCACGCCAATCTCGCCCAACCCTCGCCCTTCATGGGCCCTTGGCTGTGCCTCACTCCTTCCCTGACCCTCAGTTCTGGTCACAACAACACTCGGTCAAGCACTGGGACCATCCCTCCTCCGTAGCTGCCAGACAGTCCCAGGAACAGGGTGGAACGTGAAAACTCACCAGCAGCTCTCCCAAGGGGCGGGTCCTGCGTTCCCAGAGGATCCAGAAGACGCTTTTCAATAGCTAACACCTCCAGTGTTCTTCAGTGCCACAAGAATTCACCCAGTCTTTCCTGGGTGCCTAAGAAAAAAGCTTATAAACAGCAAGTTTTTACTGTATAGCACAGGGAACAATATTCAATATCTTGTAGTAACCTATAATAGAAAAGAATATATGTATGTATATGTATGACTGAAACGTTGTGCTGTGCACCAGAAATTGACACAACATTGTAAACTAGCCATACTTCATTTAAAAAAAAAAGCTTATGCACAGGGCAGGACACCCAGAAGTTGTATGAAAATAATATGAAGACACACATAGTTATAATCATATTAAGAACAAAAGTACTCAGTTACAAAAAAAATCAGAGGCAATTTAAAAAAGTATATTTCTAATTTGGAATATCTGTAGCTATCAAAGAAGTTTTGCATAATAATAAAATAATAGCCACCATTTTTTTTAACTTTTATTATGTGCTGAGCACTCCACCAAGTGCATCTCAGGCATTATTTAATTCTCACAAACGCCTTGGGAGGTAGGTACCATTATTGCCCTCTCCCATTTTACTGTGAGGAAACTGCGGCTTAGGGAGGTTAAATTATTTGCCTGTATCAGGAAAGAGAACTAGTGAAGCTGGGATTCCAGCCCAGGTCTGCCCGTCGTCAACAGCCGTGCTCTGCTCCCTTGTCACATGCCGTGAAAGCGGGTCTCGGGAGCAGAAGTGTAGGGACTCTAGATCTCGGCACCATTTTGACCAAGTCACTTTGAATCCTAGGACCTCGGAAAACATTCCCAGGGAAGCCCACGGTGCCCCACGCCTCCCCTCATAATCCGTCCATCCCCGACCTCTGTGACTCCGGCTCGTCCTTTGATGCCGTGACAATGCTGGGAAAGGAGCTCTTGTTCTTCAGGGACCGGTAAGCCTAAGATGTGCCACCAACTCTTGTCAGGGCTCAGCTCCAAATCCAGGCGCAGGTCGCGCTAGAGGTCCTTGTTGCTGCCAAGTGTGAAGATGGTGCAGAAAGGCTGTCCTGTGTGGCTGTAAGACGGGAGGCAGGAATCACCGGGGAGACACGCAACTGCCAAAGCTACCCCTTGGGGAGCACCTGCTACGCTCTTGGCACTGGCTGAGTGTTTTTTTCATGTAAGTACAGTCTTTCTTCTAACCTGTTTCACTGTGGAGCAGAAGTCAGAACCCAAATTTACAGGTGAGGAAAGGCGCTCAGGAGAACACGTAAGTTTCACAAGGAAACACCGTTTTAATAAGTGGCTGAGTTATGACACCAACCCAGGTTTATCCGATGTCTGTTTTGTTCACCACTGTGTCCCTAGTGACCACACATAATATGTTCTCAATAAATATTTGTTAATGAGGGTTGGAGAGATGGAAAGATGGACAGAGGGTTGTTGCCTAGATGGATGGATGGATGGATGACTGGACGGATGGATGATCAGATGGACAGACAGACAGGTGGATGATTCTAAAGTCAGTATTCTTCCTAAACCCCTCTTTCTCAAGGCCTCCTGGCTTTTCAATGGTCAGTTCGCTGTCAGAAGGCACAGAGAAAGAGGGGATGTCGGTAGGTTCTTGTTAACTACAGTTACAGCTGCTAAGAAATACCCTGAAATGTGAGTTTCCGTTATTGCTGTTTCAGGAATGTTTCCTTGGGGCTCATTAATAGAAGTTTCAGTAAGTCTGTGAGTTGTAAAGAATGATGAGCTGGAGATGGTATTTAACTTTAATGGCATGGGAGAGTGAGTAAGTTATGATACTGGAGATGCTGGATTTTTAATGAAGATACTATAGGAGTAGCTGCAAATACGCAGCAATGGGGGCTGCAGGGGTGACCATAATTAGCAGTGGTAGCTGGTTGACCCTCATTTGTCAGTATTTTTATTGTTATAGAGCTATTTTTCAGATGTCTTTTTCATTCAGTTATGAGTCATAGACCCAGAGCATATAAATAATACGGATTTTAAAAATGCATGTGGGCAAATGTGAAGGAATGCTAAGTGTGGTTGGTTAATGCCGCAGTAACCATTATCAGGCGCGACTAGCTTGGAGCAGAGACCGCGACCATTCTGTTGAGCATCATTGTGGGGGAGAGAGCAGGTTGCTATGAGTAGTGCTGTAATTGCACCCAGACTGCGTGTTACTTATTTTCTATCGGTGGTCACAGCAGATTAATAAAAAGACACCTGCTGCCACAATTGTGCTTGAAGGAAGCTGAGACTAGCATGGGGCCTTCTGTGACAGAGGGAAGTCATGGGTAAAGGCCACGCTGGGCGGGTTTCCCAGCAGCAGCTCCAAGTCCAGTTAGTAGGAGATCGTGACTGTGGTGAAGCATGAAGATTTGTTGGAAATCTCATGAGTTTAAGTTAAATTAGTCCTTTTTTTCCCCTCACACTGTGGCTTCTCAGGGAGCGTGGCTGCAGGTACTGCAATTCCTTTCCCTTTGGACCAGGATACCAACACCCACCCAGGCTCCCCCCTTCCCAGGGGCCAGAACTCACCACCCCGGAAGAGGCAGAGTGTGCTCACGCATGCGCATGCGTGACATTCTGTTTCACTCTCTTTCCTTCATTGGAAAAGGGTTTGTTGAGCTCATGCAGGGTGCTGAACACTGATGCGGTGACTGGAGCTATAAAGACAGCTCAGTAGTCCCCTGTCTTTGCACACCTCATGGTTAGATGAGGGGGAGACGTTCAGAAAGCACTGCCCTCGTGCTGCGTGCTCACGTGGCCTCTGTTGTGGGCATTTAGACCAAGAGGGAGAAACGCTCTGGCGGCTCTTTTTAGGAGGGCGCCAAGCCCATCAGCCCCATCCTCATGACCTCATCAAACCCTAATCACCTCCCCCTGGTCCTGTCCAAATGCCAGCACATCCAGGGGGCACAAGCGTCCAGCGCATAACACAGAGCAATCACAGTGTGAAATTCGTCCTTCCAGGCTTCTTCTCCAGATGGAGATTTCTTGTAGAGACAGGAGTGGGAACAGGGTGGCCCCAGAAGGGGGATTTCGCAAGATGTGATTTGTAAATTTCTTCCCTCAGCCATCTCTCATTTTTCCATGTCAATGAATGTTAATTTTTATCTTATTTTCTATATGTGTATTATCCCAATATATAGTTAAATCATAACTTATTTAACCAATCCTAAACTAACGAGCATCTGGATGGCTTCTGATTTTTAAAAATTAGAAATAGCTGAACTGAATCTTCAGCAGAGGATGGGTATCCACTGCTCAAAGGCAAATTGGAGGGAAGCTCAGGAGCCCAGGCTTAGCCTTAGGCTGAGTTGTTTCAAATCCTGGCCGTGTTTCTTACTGATGAGGTGCCTCTGGGTAAGTTATGTGCCAGGTGCACAGTGAGTGCTCAGTAAAAGGCAGTTACTCTATTTACGAGTGAGAATCAAAAATTATGTACAACAGAGGGGTGGGGTATAGCTCAGCAGTAGGGCACATGGTTAGCATGCACGAGGGCCTGGGTTCAATCCCCAGTACCTCCATTTAAAAAAAAATTAAATAAATGAAATAAATGTATTCAAGTGAAAAAAAAGTTTCCACTTAAGATAAAAAAGAAAAGGAAAAAAAACTGTGTACAACAGATTAAGGCATAGAAACAGCCAACCTGGGGTATCTTTTGTTATTATCTATTTGTTGATTTTTTTTTATTAAGACTTGACTTCATTGATTATTTACTTTATTTTGATTGCTTGCTACCAAAAAGTAAACCAAAACGGAACTGGTAGGCATCGACCCTGGGGTGACAGGCAAGGTGCCGAGCAGGAGGAGCCTGGACACCGTGCAGGGTAACAGCAGCTTCATCTGAGCGGTAACCTTGTCAGACTCTACATTGTCCAGAGGAGCGCGTGTCACGCCTGTGCCCCAGGGCAGCACGTGGCTCGTTCTTTTTGTAATATCAGTGGCTCCAATAGAGACAACGGAGACAGTGCAGTCAAAGAGTGTATGTCCTTGCAGGCAATGATGATCGTTTTCTTAAAAAAGCAAAAAAAAATTTTTTTTAACCTTCTGTTTATCAAACTATAAGCATTCAATAATTGCTAATGACTAATTGATGAGATTACATCTTTTGACAAAATCTTGACTCTAAATACTGAGGGTATAACGGAACAGAAAGGGAGGCATAGAGGTAAGGGACATTTAGAAAGGAGCGGTCAGGGACAGGATTAGGGAAGGGAAGATGGCTGGCTGACTTGTATCTGCTCAGCCCTCACCTCCTCGTCTTCTCCCATTTCGGATCTGATGAGCTATTATGGTGGGGCAGGTGATTCCAAAGAACTAGGAAGACCGACAGGGCAAAGGGGGAGTCAGGAGAAGTACCCTTCAGCACTGGAGTTGCCATTAACCCCCCATGGCCTTTGCACCTCTCTTCCTTCTCTTTAAAATGAGGTGTTGTCTTATACTCGTAGCTACTTCGATGTGCTCAGTACTTACTATGCTAAGCGCTTTGGTATCAACTCCTTACAACAGCCCCGTGAGGCATGAATTGTTACTCCCTTTACAAAGAAAAGATACACAATTTGTTCAAGCTCACATAGTCAGTGAGGGATGGAGCTGGGACCCACACCCAATTGGTATGTATGTGTATTATCCCAGTACATAGATAAATTGTAACTTATCTAACCAACCCTTAACTAATGAGCGCCTGGCTCTGTGGGCTGGAGCCCACCTCCTAAGCCAGAGCCCATGCTCCTAACGGCCCTGGCATACCTCCAACGGTGCCATTGAGAGCTGGAATCCCATGACTCTGATCCCCTACCGGCTGTCACCAAAAGTCCCCAAGTGCTTGCTAAGCCTGGACAAAGAACAAAGAATTCTTTTAAGCCACAGCCATCACAGCACCCAGGGGGCCATTATGAAAGGGTTCCCAGTCTCCCCCCACCTCCCACCACCAGCCTGGAATTCCCCACCACTAACAATAATCTGTTGATGAGACATTTCAGGCTGTGGATGTAATAACCACACGGTTTGTTTCCAAAGCAGGATGGAATGCAGTGCCTTTTCAAGTAACCGTGAGATGTTTACCCAGTCTCCTCAGTGGATAAAGGCAACTTGGCACCTTCAAATATTCTGTTTGAAGAGAAATAAACTTCAGCTATCATAAGTTGAAAGTCATAAGCATATCTGCCTTTCACACGCATATAAATATATATGTATATATTTAATTCCCATAGATTTATCCTTTATAAGACATGACAAAATAGAAAGGCCATCCCAGACGTCCTCGAAATGACTAGAACTGCAATCATATCTGAATGCTATTTGCCTCTCTCAGATTATTCTGGGTTTTCCGTGATACAATTTTTTTAACATTTTTTATTGATTTATAATCATTTTACAATGTTGTGTCAAATTCCAATGTTCAGCACAATTTTTCAGTCATTCATGGACATATACACACTCATTGTCACATTTTTTTCTCTGTGATTTATCATAACATTTTGTGTATATTTCCCCGTGCTATACAGTGTAATCTTGTTTATCTATTCTGCAATTTTGAAATCCCAGTCTA